TATATATATATGTAATGTAATATTTAGTTTTTGATTATTGCATAAACGAATATATGATAATGACAGAATTATTTCAAGTTTATTATATGAAATTTGAAGATATGTTTTGAGATATAGTGCCTCTTTAGTTGCAAAATTTGAATAAATGAAAGTCAGAATGCTGTCCAATATGTTAAAAAAAATGATTTTAATAACAATTTAAATATAAACCTGACCATAGTTTATAATATATTGCACAAAATACGTGATTAATGATATGAACTTTTATAAAAAGAAAAAAAACATATAAACGTATAAGAAAAGAAAAAGTTCATAAGTATTCAATAATAAAAATGATATGGCGCATGAAATAAATGTTGCAACTGTAAGTAATACAATGTAATCATAAGTTTAACAGATAAAAAATTAAATTAAGCACTAATACTATAATAGAAAATTGCTTTTTGAATTTTGTTTTTATCTGTTTTATATATATATATATATATTGAATTTATAAAGATATGTAATATCAATTAGCAATTGCATTAAAAATTATATCAAATGACTTTATATGTTTTATTAAATTTTAATGTTGCGAAAATAACAAAATTTAATTTGTTTATTAAATTAAATATATTAATATGACAATAAGTTTATAGTATATTTATATATACTAGTTTATTTCATATTTAAATTATTCTGATAAAATATTATTTATTGTGGGTTAATAATGTCATAACTATTAGTATATTGTTATAAAAAATACTATGTTTATTCTATTATACTATGTTTATTATATTATATTGATTCATTGTGATTAAAAATAATAAATAATGAGGAAAACAATATGATTTCTTTTTTATTATTAAAATAAGTTAAAATTGATTATAAATTACATTAATATATATAATGTAGATTTTAGAATTTATAAAAATAAAGAATTTATAAAAATAATTATTCGTATCATTTGTAATATAATATAATTGCAGAATATTCTTCTCTGATAGCTTCTTATCCGAAACTGGTTTTCATATGCGATTTTTAAAATCGAATGGCATATCGATTTATGGTTTACATCGACGACCTCTAGTGAGAATATATAATTTACGATATCATACGCGAAATAAAGATAGTCGATAATATTCGATATTTTTTAGACTTATTGGCGATCAGCTGTTTTGAAAACGAACAAACAAGTATTATATTAAAAAGAAAACTTAATCTAGTTTTGTATTAATAGATATTCAATATTTTATAAATAAAATGACAACGGCCGCAAGACCTACGTTCGAACCTGCTAGAGGAGGACAAGGACGCGGTGAAAAAGATTTAAGTGCAATATCAAAACAATATAGCAGCAGAGATTTACCATCACATACGAAATTAAAATACCGGTACTATGTTATTTTTTTTATTTTTGAGTAATATGTATTTATTTTTATTTTTGTTTCGAACAATTTTTTGAAATGAATAATCAAACCTAACCTCATTCATTTACAACATTAATGAATTTCATTTACAGAGAACATGGACAAGGAACAATAGAGGAATTGCGAAATCGAGATTTTCGTAAAGAATTAGAAGAACGTGAACGTGAAAGAGAAAAGGAGAAAAGTTCTAACCGTCGTATGATAGAACCACCTCGAGAAACTTCTACAACGAGTGCTAAAAGACAGAAAATTGATCAAGTACCTACAGCAAGTTTAGATGCAGATGATCCTCTTGATGATGATGATTCAGAGTCAGAAAGCGATGAAGATGATACTGCTGCATTATTAGCAGAATTACAACGTATTAAAAAAGAAAGGGCTGCGGAACAAGCTAAAAAGGTAAAATGTTTATGTTTGTATATTTTATTTATTCAATTAAATTCAATTTTATGTATGTAATTAATATTTTTATTTCATTTCATATTTTTTATTTTGCAGGAAATGGAGAAACGACAGGAAGAGGAAAGAATAAGAATGGAAAATATTCTTTCTGGAAATCCTTTACTAAGTTATTCTTCTCAGAGTGGAAGAACAGATATGAAAGTCAGACGACGATGGGACGATGACGTTGTATTCAAAAATTGTGCTCGTTCCGAACCAAAAAAGAAACATGATGTATTCATAAACGATTCATTAAGAAGTGAATTTCATCGTAAATTTATGGAAAAATATGTTAAGTGAATGAACTATATAAAAAGTATATTATTTGTTTGTATATAGTTTTAAGTTAATATTATCGTATGTTAATATGTAAGTATCTTATGTTATGCTTACAAATAGTGTAAGAAATTATTCTTAAAAATTTAAAAATGGATTACGCTAACTTCATAAGCATATTAGTAAATTATATATATCCAATTTTATGTACACACGTATATATATATATATATATATGTGTGTGTGTGTGTGTGTGTGTGTGTGTTCATTAACGACACGGTATATCACAAAATTTACTGAATTAAAATACGAACAATTAATAGTCATCGTACGGTTTGAATCTAAAAATAGAAGGCGTTATCAAGATTTTATCGATATTTTATTCAATTCAACAAGATTCAGGAAATTTTATTGTCCGCAATTTTTCTTTTATGCACTCGATCTATCTCGAGAAGGCTCCACTCTAACAAATTCGCAAAGAAATCGTTAAATTCTTCATATATAAAAATAAGCGTATAAATAATTGGTGTGAGAGAGTAAAGGGAGAGGAGCAGGGTGAGCTAGAGTGGGGTAAGGTGAATCAAGGTAGAATGTATTGGTCTGACAGAGATCGTTGATTGTGTGAGGGGAAAAAGGAAGAAAGAGAGAAAGAGAAAGAAAGAGGTAGAATAGAGGGAGAGAAAAGGAACAAGCTAGCCGAGTATACTGGAAGTTTGTCCAGGCAATGTAGGTACGTGTTTCGGTAGCGGTGCGATCCGGCCTCGGCGGTGGTGGTGCTGACGGCAGCAAGCGCGTGTAAACCGCTGGGTCAAGTATAACCGGTCCCAGGGTCCCCGGAGCAGCCGGAGGCAGCAGGCAGTCTACCGGTACGACGCGCAGCTGGTTATCGCCGGTAGACTCCCTGGCACCGACCTGGCCAACTAACGCAACAGGGACACACGAGGGACCGGCTCGACTCAACCGGTAGAGAGACAGAGAAAGAGAGACGACCGTTCACTGGTAGATCGCTTCAAGATGATTTCTGGGAAGAGATATGTCGTACGTTACGGTACGACCGATCGGTTCTCCGTGCGGTTGAATTCGTCATCGCCAATTTCATCCTCTTCGGCTTCTTCTCGAACCTTCAAATTAGGAGAGGTGCCGCTTAAATACCATTTTTCGGATCTGACTAATCGCGATCCTTGTGGTATTTACAATTTCCATTGTGTTAATGTGACTATAATTGATATTTTATTCGAGAAGTTTCATCCAAGTAATGCGTGTCGTTACGTGTAATAATATAAACTTTGAGAAGATTTATTTTCACGATAATTAGATCGTAGATCGTTACGTCTTTCTTGAACTCTCTAAAACAATAAAATTAGTGTATGATGACTAGTTTTTATAACTTGATCACGATCGATAAAATAAATAATTTGAACGAAATTATATAACAATCGCTTGTTCGCTTTAACCAATTGTAATAACGATAATATTCAAATTTTTCAAATGCGAAAACAATTATTTCTCATATTTTCATATTTAAAATCGATTAACAAAGTTTACAAATCATAATCTGATCTCATTTATTTTTCGCGATGCCGAAAAATTTAAATTTTCTTGATGCAAATCTAAAATGAAACGAAAGGAAAAAGATATATGCTCGAGAAAATGCAATGGTAAATTGGTAGACACACGGTCGAACACGGTGCGCTAAAAATGCAGAGTTGTCGAGTTTTCTTCAAGAGGATAATCTCCGAGGGAGGGATTTCCCCGGTGAACGCACCTCTGGATTCTGCAGCGGCCGATGCTCGACGGGAATTCGCCCTGAAGGCACTCTCCCTTCCTCTCCCTCTCCCTTTCACTCCTTTCCTCTCCCTCTTTCCCTTTAACTCTCTTTTTCTTCTTACCTCCCTCCCTTCCTCTTGTACACTCCTCTCTCTCTCCTCTGCTGCCACATTTTTTATTTACCTCCTATATTCCTCTATTTACTTTATTTATTCCGTTGCTGTTGGTCAGTCGAGAAAGAGTGTTGGACGAAAGAGAGCGAGAGAGAGATAGAAAAAGAGAGAAGTATGGCGAGCGAGAGAGAGAGAGAGAGAGAGAGAGAGTAAACTGCAGCATCTCTTGCTTTTCTCCAAGAGTTCCATCCATGGACGTGCAGAATGACGAGCCAGGGCTGTAAGCTACTAACATTTTATTGGGTGAGCCGACATGCATCGATAATGGAATCCCCATCCTCCTCTTCAAACATGCTTTCAGGATTATCTCCGTGGAATTGAGATCCGAACATTGCGGAATAAGCGGATGGTATGCGTGTGCCCGACACCTGTAAGAAGAACATTGGTATGTGCTTAATGCCTGTCACATGCAACCGGCCGGAGTTGTTTGCGCGACCAAGTAGAATTTTAGTGTCGTCGCTGTTAAAATAGAGTTATTATGTTGTATTATATTTGATTCGTAATTCGATCCGAATAATCATATTTATTTACTATGTATTTTCAATAAATAATTGAAGAAATATCAAGATATTCATTCGATATCTGATATCATGATCTTTCAAAAGATGCAAGAGATCCAATTGTTCATAACTTCGAAATACATAAAAAAAATACAATTTCTTAATATCACGTTTAAAAATATCTGAAAGTTTTCTATTTATTCGCGAATTCATTACCGAAACTATCTAATTATAATAAGAATTATAATAAGAAACATAATATGAAAATGTTATAGATAATCGAATAGCATTTTTTAGATGCAGAGAAATCGGATTTTCTTTTTTTTAATTTCGCTTTATCGGTTCGCGAATATCTACGAGAGAGAAGAAATTGTGTCGAGTAAACAAATATTTCTTACAACAAACTGGATATTGTAAGACTTACGTTGACTTTATTGGCAGATTAATGATACTACCGACTCAGATTCGCTTTCACCGTCATCCGCCCACCCCGATCCCTTCTACGTTTATGGTCGATTGCGTATAAATATGACACGCAATGACTTTTTTTTTCTTTCGTTTAGTTCTATTAAAAAATTCCCTATGAAAACATGATATTCGCGACATTGATTTTCCGAATTTATTTGACAAAATAAACATACATACATTTATTAATTTGCATAATTATTATTGCATAAATTTAAATAAAAGTATATCCAGGGAAAAAAAAGTTCTTTCCAGTTTTTCGTTTCTTTTTAATTATCCAAATGTCCTTTTATTTTTTGATGTATTTATGAGTTATAACTTTGGTGAAATTGTCGATAGCGTTTAATGGTTATAGTTACGAGCTACGTATTATTGGAATCCTTTCGTAATGATTTACGATAGTCGTATAATACGACGTGATGTATTTTGTTATAACGAAATATGTCGTATATTTTAGATAGAAATACATCATCGTACGATGACGAACAGATTATTTATTTACTTGTCACTTATTTACATAATTAAAAATGTTAAGTTTCATGTTCGTAATAAATATTAATATATCTTTCTCGCGTGTTAAAATTTAATCCTCGATACTCGATCTTTAAAATTATCGAAACCAATATGGTATAAATGCGTAACGCAATTTTTTCGCGGGGGGAAAAAAAAAAAAAGGTATTGGCAATCTTCTCACTCGAGTGTCCCATTTACACGAGATACGAAAAATCCACAAATCCACTTTCGAGTTTCGTTAAAAATGAATAAATCACCTGTCGTCAAATTTTGTTTTCACGCTATCTAAATCGATACACGGAGGAACACCGTTTCCAAAAATAAATGTCTGTAAAGGTTGCGTGCCATCGAGGCGCGCGTCTTCGAATGGAATTTCTCGTACGGCCAACTTTCGTGTCAACCGCTGCATACCATCCCGCCGCTGTGTTACCTGTAACAGCCTGTAAACAAATTCTTTGCCATATCCGTCCATTATCCGAGGTGAGTTACATTTTTCGAGCGCTTCACGTTACACGTGTAGCGGGATTTTCCAATGCTAGGCCCGCATTCCTCGGGCCGGAAACGGAGGATGGGTTTTCTCGGATCGAAAACATTAGCCGCGCATTGGGTAGGTAGCGGTTGGTGTGCGGTTATCGGGCGGAAATAGCCCGCAACTCGTCTGAATGGCGATCCGATAAAGATCGAAGGGGTTGAAAAAGTGGAAGAATGTTCAAGTTCGGTCGGCCGCCATCGCACGCCGTGTCTTCGCTAACCCTGATCTCCGGCACCACGTTAGAGTGCCGAGTAATACCAACGATCAGGGCTGGTGAACGCCGCCTACTTCTTCGGCAGGGGCGGTCCTATCTCTATGACCCAGGGACGTGCAAATGTCTTCGAAAATTCAGTGGGATCGGTCGGATGGGAAATTATTTTATAAGACAAATCGTTTTATTTCCTTCGCTCCCGTTATTCCTATTATTTTTTTTCTTTCTCCTTTTTCCACACGGATACGAGTTTGGAAAGTTTTCTTCCTCGATTTTTTACGCTCATACGACGATCGTAAAAGCGTACGAGGAAAAGTAGGTGTAATTCGTCGAGGAAACATTCGTCGAGTCGAAGCCGCTGTTCTCTTTCTCCGTGCAAATCCGTTCGAACAGTTGGAACGAAGGATTTTTATTTTTTTAACGGTAGCCGTTACACTTCCGAAAGTTGCGAGTCTTGGACGCGAACAAATTTATTTCGCCCGGTGAAAGCAACAGATTCGTCCTTTTTGGCGAGACAAACGACGCGTCGTTGAGCGAGACGCGTTTCGTTCGACGTTTTACATTTTTCAATTTTGATCTCGTCCTTCTCATTTACTCATTTCTACTCGTTCGTACGAGCATGAAACGTGTTTTCACCTTAAAAGAAACGGCGGGATCGCGTTCTAAAGAAAAAGAGGAAAAAAAAAATTATAAATTTAAAAAAAGAAACGCGATAATACACTAATAATAGACTCTAGACGCTTCTTTTGATCGGAAGAATGGGAAGATCAAAATCCGAGACGAGAAAAATCCGAGTCGAAATCGGCGATTTTATTTCTCAGCCCGTATCTATTTTGCGTTCCATCGTACACGAAGGATTCTCCCTTCGTGTTTCTTATTTTCAGCAGTCGAGGCACGCGTAAAAAGGTCGCGAACGATCCCCAGTGAAAGTAAATCAAATTTGCAATCGTCTCATGCCCCTCGTGGCCGCGGCGAGGCGACTTGGTTGCAGAAATTTGCGGTGTGCTGTGGATACGGTGTGCGTATGTAGATTGAATTCCTGCGCTTCGTCCACGTTCTACGTGGACGAACGACACCAGCCTTGCATTACGTAACGAGTTACATTGTAACACGCGTCCGCGAATCTCTTCGGAACCTTGCAAACATCTGGTGTTACATGCAACATTCCAGGAATGTCGCGTCGAGCGTGCGACGCAAGGCGTTGCGCGCAACGCTCCGTACGCGAACAATCCGATCGCGAGCGAAACATTTTCACCGGCTATCCTTCATTTTCGCGGCTCGCGTTATCACGACCATCATACGTCGCAGTCACGGTTGTACGCGTTCTCTCGGATATCCAACGTTATCACGATAAACGCGCGCGCGCGCGAATACACGCACACGCGTTCGTTTCAAAATCGATCGAGCGCACGAATACTTTCCCCTTTTCTCGTCGTTCGAACACGTGACTGTTCGAACCTTCGTTACTCAATAGTTACTTCGAACCGGGTGGTGACAATGTTAGGTGCAATGACATCCGTTCGTTATTAACAACATCTTCTTCTTGATACCTTCCTTGATTCACAAGGAAGCGACATCGTTCCGAAAGGCTGGATGCACACGATGCTGCGGATCGAAACTTTAGAAACTTTAGATACTAAGGAGGAGGGAGGCGATTCGATCATGGAACTTATCTTCGATAAGTTGGAGTCTCAAGTCGGAGGACTCAACTTCGCTAAACGCATTCGGTGACACTTGATGAATAAAGAAGCGAAGAAAAACACGTATGGAGNAGAGAGAGAGAGAGAGAGAGAGAGAGAGAGAGAGAGAGAGAGAGAGAGAGAAAGAGCGCGCAAAGTGTAGGACGCGAAGGGAAATTTAAACAAGAGACGAGAGAAAAAAAGGAAAGAGGAGAGGAGATACTGTGTAAAAAATGCGATTAAAAACGGGAGCAAATAACGTAACTCGATACACGGCGATTAATAAATTCGTACTTGGCGAAAGAATTAAAAAAAAAAAAAAAAAAGAGAGAGAAAGAAAAAGAAACGAAGAGGGCGGCGCGGAAAAAGAGGAAAGGATCAGTATGTACGCGTGGCTAGCGGCGTGGCAAGGCAAAAGCTGTGGCGAGGTAAGTGGAAGCGAAGCGAGGCGAGGCGAGGCGAGTCGAGGCGAAACGAGGCGAGGCGCGAGCGAGCCGATCCAAACAGGCAAACGCAGAGAGGAAGGCGAAGAGCGAGGCGTGGCTCTGTCGGAGGAGCGGTACGGCCCTGGGAGGCGGTGGTGAGGCCTCGCGGAGGAGCAGCGACGACGAGGAGGTGCACGGCACGGGCCAGACAAACAGACTGGCACTGGCATCGCGG